TTAATCCTTTATTAAGACTTTTAGTCGTATATACAGTTTCTACTGCGAGATACAGAAAATCTGCGGTGGGTAAAGAAGTAGAAAGAAATTCAAATTTACAAAATTATATTGTAAATAGGTAAATATAGATCTATAATTAATTTACATATTGAAAAATATTAAGAAACTGATATTAAAAAAAAACAATCGTTAATAAAGATTTAGATAATAAAAAATTGAAATTTAATTCACAAAAAAATATCGTTTGATACATTTAAAATTGAAAACTAACGTCTTTAATAAATAAACAAATGAAAATTATTCTTAAATAGGTAAATATTTACTAGTTTGTGATTATAAATTGCTTATTATAACACACATACTCTTTAATATTAAGAATATATCATAATACTTATTTTAAAATATATTAATATGTTTTAAAACGATTATATATGTTGTTTTTTATATATATCAAAAGAATTACGTCTTATTTTGATAATTCTATATTATTTCTATCGATTATTCTATGATATAAAATTATATAATTACTCGTTTATAAGTCATATATAATATACAATATATTTTAACACACTTTAATAATTTTTCGTAATCAAACGACAAATATCGCAGACGAATTGAACAACCAAACTAATCCCAAGTTCATTAGGGGACATTCTACTAATTAAAAAAACGTAATTATTATTCAAAATGAATAATTAGTTTAATAAATTAACTAAAACAACTATTTTATAAAAAAGATTTGTTTTCGTTTTCGCACATCCAACTGAAAAACGTTGTAAATAAAAAATATATAATATTTCCGCAGACGATGTTGCTATGACAAAAATTGACCAATGATTTACTAAATGACAATGAGGACAACTTTACATCAAAGTACTGTATTGACACACCTGTATGACAATAATAATGTGACATTTAAAAAAGTGTCACCTTCTTACTTTTATGAGGTCAAGGACAAAGTAATAAAATCACAAATATATAAAAACTAAATATATTTAAAAAACAAACCGAACAATATAATAAAAATATAAAAAAACATTTTTATACACCCAAAATATAATTCTATGATAGTATAAAAATATCTCTTTTAAAGGGATTCTTTAGAGAATATAAAAAGAATAATCAAATCTTTCATAAGATTTTAAGGAATAGAATGATTTTATGTAAAATGGTAAATATGTAACTAAAGACGAATATGTAATTTTGATGTATAGAAGGACTTGTTGCCAGAACTTACCTTTCAGGAGCTAATCCATTGGCTCAATGGCGGCCGTCAGGGAACTCTCACATAGAAGACATTGGAGGCTCTAGAGGGAGCATCATTCTAAGCTCTTGCGCACCTGGATGCGCAGTAGCTTGTTTATTGAACTCTCGTCTGGCTGGTTATTCACCAAACCATCGTTATCGAGAAAAGTCGTTTGATTGTTATTTCTACCTTCAATTTCTCATTTTTATTTGAAATTTTTATATCTATTTTTATTCTTATCTATATTTTTATATATATTTCTCAAATAGGTATTTATATTTGTCTTTTTTTAGGTTGTTTTTATGATCGTTTGCTATCGTTTTTAGTATGAGTTTAACTAGATTTTTAGTATTAAACAAGTTTTTAATGTTTATACTACGTTTAAACAATATAGTTTTTAATACTAATAGATTTTTGTTTGGCTCTATATTTTTCTCGTAAAAAAAGTGGTATTTTAAAATTTCACATTCAAATTGTCATGTATTCTAATTTATTGGTAATCTATGTATCTTTTATGGTAATATAGCAATATTATGTTGATTTTTGATATTAATTATAATTGTACAGTAGAACTTGGGTAATTTTAACGTTTTTAATTCGAATATTTATCTTGATCCCTAGAATTTTCTATGAAAATTAATTTCCGTTTTTTTATTTGAATTTTTGGATAATTCGAATATTTTTGGTCTCTTTAGGCTTTGAATTATCTAAGTTTGACTGTAATATGGTTATAATGAATATATATAAATGTTATAATGATATTGTAATATTATTGGTATATATATATATGTAGTAGGTTGTAGGTAGAGATGTAGTTTATCGCGAAAGCTAACCGCTAAGGCAAGGATGGGGTAAATATGACCTAACCGACAGAACTGATCAATAATATCCGTGGTGGCATTTATGGATGTTTTTTCTTCTAGCTGACCTGTGACCGTTTTGTCACAAATGTCACCATCTCCTTCAAGTTTGTTTGTTTTTTTGGTCATTTAGGTGTTTGTTGTCTTAAGATCTCTAACTACCCATACATATAACACTATATTCATATATATATCTATAGATTTAAAACATTTTATTGAACAATCTTTAAAGAAATACAGTGAGGGTCGGTGGAAGGATGGTCTAAACCGTTGGTTTTCGACCATTACGACCCGGGTTCGATTCCCACATTGGGCACTTTTTTTCTGATTAAAAAATGCTCCAATGGCCCCCGATTCTTGCAAAATTCCAACCCCACCAGCGAGTACAAGTAACCAAACGGGGCTCTGGCACATTTATATATGAAAAGTCGAACTGCTTTTCATATGTGTAGATATGTGGTGCACTTACAGTAAAAGCAGTCGCCTACTTCTACCCACCATTTGCGCAGAGGCGATATCGTAGCCAATGAGGATCTTCCGAGGCGCGATTATTGCTAGTTGAAAACTTTACCCAATACTTCTACCCACCATGATTATCATGGCCTGTGCCGCGTGTACTAGGTATAAGCAAAAAAAAAGTTCAACATAGAAGATTCTAAAAAAACAAATGATATACAAAAAAAAAAACACATTATTAAAAGAATGACTAAAATTAATATACAAAGTTTTCTTCTTTTGGTCCTTCGGATCCGAGCGAAAGGTTTTCTTGTGGGAAGCGTCGGCTTCCCCAGTATCATTAAGATATTCAGTGTAAAGGGTCTCCATGATGGTGTCGTCAGCTGGTTAACCTGGGGACACCTGGCCATTAGAGGTAACAGTCAGCAGATCAGATCCCCCTCCCTTACAAACAGGATTTAAGAAATTAAAGCATTTAAGCATGAATGTTTCCTTTTCGCACAAAACAAACATTTACTGTTATCAAAATTCGAAACTATTTTAAACGCGTAAGATTATTTTTAAAATTTTACGCGTTTAAAATAGTTTCGAATTTTGATAACAGATGGCGCGCTAGTGCATCGTATTATAAACATTTACTGTCTCTACTGCAATTTTGAAATATATTGGGAAGGCTTGGTTCATAAGTTATGAACCCTACCAGCGGTTTCGCTAATTTAATCTACCAGACCACTACTTAGAGCTCTAATACTGTATTGGATCATTCTGCTTATATATGCTACACTGAAAGGTGGAATCTCAGAAATGGTATTCAAGTAAACTATTGAAATAAGCTTTTAGCACAGCAGAATTACATTTAAATATTTGTATCGAGCATATATAAGCATTTTGAAAATAGAGCAATTCATAGATAAATCTTTAATTAAAAAGGCATATATTGGATCAAAATAAATGATTTTTTGATCCAATATATGCCTTTTTAATTAAATATATAAGCATAATCGTCCAAAACAGTATATACAGAGCTCTAATACTGTATTGAATCATTCTGCTTATATATGATACACTGAAGAGTGGAATCTTAGAAATGGTAGTCAAGCAAACTATGGACGTAAGCTTTTATAACAGTAAAGTTGGTAGGGACTAGACCAAATCTATGGATGAAATATATATGTAAATTTTGCCGTGGTATGCAATAAAAGCTATGTGCGAGGATCATGTACAAGGTGACACCGATACAAAGTATGATGGAATATCGTCAACAGGTCTTCAGTGACACGACACATTTCTTGGCAGACGAAAAAAACGTAAATCACAAACTTCGCAGACGAGATGATGACATGGTTCTCGAGACCCACGGGGAAGATCCATAAAAATATATATTTTATCAACCACAATACAAAGCTTTATTAAGACCTTTCAGTCTTATACAGATTCTCCCAGTAGAAATGTAGGATACATGCATGAATAACAGTAAAAATCTTCTTCTTCTTTCTTATCGCCACTCAATCGTATCAGGGTATCAAGCTTTGACAACCATCATGACTGGGTGAAGTAGATTGTGTCTGCCTTTGTCATTAAGACTGGGAGCACTACTCAGTGGCAGGCTGACTTAGCTCCAAAAGAAATGGCCACCTCTGACATGAGGAACAGATGCCATGTGCAGCCGCTCCAAACATGGAGTACAAACGCTGCTCATCCTGTATCCCTGGATTAGGAGCCCTTACAGGGTACTATCAGCCGGGCCAGCTGAGCCCAGGTTTTTTAGTGAGCTTGTAACTGCTCCCCTCCTCTTTTTTCATCCGGGCTTGGGACCGGCAAAGGAGGAGTTACAGTAAAAATACCAGTAATAAGCATTGTTATTTATTAATCTAATCACATAATGGGAATATGAATAAGAATTCATTGGAGTATTTAGATGCCTGTTGATGGGACATCTGATATAGGTAGGTATGTTAGCTGGACATAGTGGGATTGTGGGAGCCGAGAGACTTCCTTCCAGCCTGCTGGGATGACAGACCACGGCAAACATACAAGCGGAGCCTGGAAATAGTACGGATGGCCACCGCTGTGTGGCGCGGCAGATAGGCGGAAGTCAATGAGAACCCAATAGGCATTCTAGGGTGTTGTCCTTTTGTAATCCTATAAAAATGTAGCTAATAAGTAATAACAATAAAACACTAACTTTGAAATACTTTTCTGAGCCATCGCTGGACTAATAAATCGACACACCACAGGATTCATGCCTTAGGTACCAGGAGTTCAGAACTCCAGACATACTGTCCCATCTAGGGTCACTCCCCCCCCCCCCCCCCCCCCCCGCAACTTTGAGGCAGTTAACAGGTCTTGGGGGTAAAAGGTAATATGATATTTATATACAGGAAAACTTAATTAGGACAATCAAGTTAATAGATTAATCTGGTTATATCCGAAAAAGATGTTTCTGCCAGGACTCGAAACTGGGAACTTCCGCGTGTTAGACGAATATGATAACCACTATACAACCTAAACGGTTGATTTTATCAATAAAATTTCAATATTTTTATTTTTCTATTGATTTCTCATGTGTTAAGCGTATTTACGCAATTTTGGCCTTAAATACCCATTTTTTGGTTTTTCAAGAAGCCTCTGGGACCAAAATAATATTTTTGGTCTCAGTGGTACAGCCTGCTCCACGCTGACGAACGTCAACAGCGCGAAACGCGTTCGTGGATGGCTTTTCTTGATTTATCAATAAACTGGGTTGGTCAAATATCACGGAGCAAGTTAAATAAACGTTTAGTTTATTTTTGCTCCACTAGATGGCGCTCTGCCATCTAAAAAGCACATGTTGTTTGGTCAGGATATGCACCTATTATTTTTAATATTTCAATATATTAAGTATTTTTGACCAATAACAAAGTTGTTTCCATGTAATCTACAAGAATTTGTAAATTAAGTTTACTGTACAATAAATTGATAAAGAGGGAGCAATCTCTCGAAATATTTTGAGGAAAATTTGTTTTTTTTCTTCTTTACAGATCCAGATACGCCCTTTTATATAATATTTCAAAATTATTTTTAGAATTTCAATTCTACACCAAAAATATATATTTTAAATTAGACACATTATATTTGGAAAACAAATAATTTTAAACAACAACCGTTACAAATGTATTTCTATTTAGAGATAAAACTTAACAAATTCACTATTTTAAATTTTTAAATAAAAGTTTCTTTTTTTAAGAAGGAAACAGTTGTTTTAATTAAAATACTCACATGGCTAAACTTTTTCTCTTTTCAAATAATTTATCCCATGAAAACTTAATACCACGCAATTTGGATTTTACTTATGAATATAAAGCATTTTAAAAATGTATTTAAGAGGGGGAAAAAAAATAGATATTTGTTTTTTAAATTATTTTTTATCTGTCAATAACATATTTAATTTTCTGTAATATATATATATGTAGTGGTGTTATCGTGGAAAGTGATGTTTATTGAGTTTTCATAGAATGCATAGGATCCGCGGGGTGAATAAATTTTTATACAAAATTTATTCTATTTATAACCAACAAAATTTAAGATAAACAGGATTAACGTAATGCTCCAACATAATTTAAGATTAGCGCGATTTATTACCAATAGGATTTAAGATTAACAAGGATTTGAGATTAACACACACAAGGATTTAAGATTAACAGGAATTAATATTAACAGAATTTAATACCAACAGGATTTAAGATTAACAGAATTTAAGACCAACAGAATTTAAGATTAACAGGATTTAAGATCAACAGAATTTAATACCAACAGGATTTAAGATTAACAGAATTTAAGACCAACAGGATATAACATTAACAGAATTTAATACCAACAGAAT